TTCTATGATGAGGTTACAGCATTGGTAGATAGGAGAAGAGCAACTGACATCATCTACCTGGACTTATCCAAAGCATTTGATACTGTCCCACACGACATCCTTGTCTCTAAACTGCAAAGACATGGTTTTGATGGATGGACCACTCGGTGGATAAGAAATTGGCTGGATGGTTGCACTCAAAGAGTTGTGGTCAATGGTTCAACAGGCTGGAGAGGTGGGCCTGTGAGAACCTCATGAAGTTCAACAAGGCCAAGTGCAAGGTCCTGCACGTGGGTCGGGGCAATCCCAAGAACAAGTACAGACTGGGTGGAGGATGGATTGAGCAGGCCTGAGGAAAAGGACTTGGGAGTGCTGGTGGATGAGAAGCTCAATATGAGCCGGCAATGTGCACTGGCAGCCCAGAAAGCAAATCATATCCCGGGCTGCATCAAAAGAAGCGTGGCCAGCAGGTCGAGGGAGGTGATTCTGCCCCTCTACTCTGCTCTCATGAGACTCCACCTGCAATACTGTGTTCAGCTCTGGAGTCCCCAACATAAGAAGGACATGGAGCTGCTGGAGCGGGTCCAGAGGAGGGCCATGAAGATGATTTGAGGGCTGGAGCACCTCTGCTATGAAGACAGGCTGAGAGAGTTGGGGCTGTTCAGCCTGCAGAAGAGAAGGCTCCGGGGTGATCTTATTGCAGCCTTCCAGTACCTAAAGGGGGCCTACAGGAAAGCTGGAGAGGGACTTTTTACAAGGGCGTGTAGTGATAGGACAAGGGGCAATGGATTTAAACTGAAAGAGGCGAGATTTAGATTAGATATAAGGAAGAAATTTTTCACTCAGAGGGTGGTGAGGCACTGGAACAGGTTGCCCAGAGAAATTGTAGATGTTCCATCCCTGGAAGTGTTCAAGGCCAGGTTGGATGAGGCTTTGGGCAACCTGGTATAGTGGTGCGTTTCCCTGCCCATGGCAGGGAAATTGGAACTAGATGATCTTTGAGGTCCCTTCCAACTCTAACCATTCTATGATTCTATGAATTTCTGCTACTTTTTTTTTTAATTCAGCATTTCATGTCTCTGTCATTGCAGCAGGAAGCTTAAGAATACTAGTTCAAAAACCTAGAGGGCTCACAATAATATGTTCTCTGTGCTTGTCACCTCAAAGTTTTGGAAGTCAAGGCAACTGGACTCCTGGTTTTGGAGCACTTGGGGTCATCAGAGCTGAATTTACTGATACGGTGCTGTGAGCCTTCCACAAAAGTTTGAAGGAAAAAACAATTGTTAAAACTCCTTTCTGCCACACTAGAAATAAGCCAAGTCTTATGGCTTACTTGCAGGAGATACTAACTGCATTGCCTTGTTATGGTCTCGCAAAGTCGTAAAAAACTACCAAAAAACCCAAATACATAGAATCCTTTAGATACAGTATAACACATCTTACACGAGTGAACGCAAATAAACCCTGTTTGTTTAAAATAGCCTGACTCAGCTGGCAGTTCTGTCAGTCAGATTCTCCAAGAGCATTTTCTCTTCCTCCTGTCTGTAACCTACAGCTACTGCCCTCGCATGAGATGGAAGTGCAGCCCCTTCCCATACGTGACGCAGCTCCTCAGAATGGAAGCTGTCAAAAAATCTTGACTCCCCTCTAGAAGGAGGTTGTGTCTGCATCTCACGAACTTTTTTTTAAAGCCGACTAATTTTGCCTGTAGCTTTATGCTCGTACTGAAAATGATGATTTTTATAGCCAGGGTGCTGCAGGAAAAGCTGAAACGGGAGCTGCTCTGGGAAACGGGCAGCGATGGTGTGTCTGACAGCTCCCGCATCCTCGCCTTGCTGGAGCTTACACTGCTCTGGGTAACTTCACGTTCAGTCTAGAGGATACCTGCCCCTACGTTTAGTGGGAACTGAAAAAGCAAAAGACATCATCAAGCACTAGGTAGGCTGCAAATCCTAGGCTCTAGGGAATAACTGGGAAACTGTGTATTTGTGCTGGAAAGTAGGAACTGGCAGGGAAGCACTTGAAGAGAAAGACATGAGAATCTTTCAGGCACCGATCTCGGAACTGTGAATAGAAAAAGAGAGACCTCTTTTATCCGGCTATTGAGAGGGGGAAAAGAGTTTCTTCTGATATTTCATCATCTATCATAATTTCTGTCTTTTGATAGGAATAACCTTTACAACCTTAAATATTGTCATGAAGTTGAAAGCATATTATACATATGTTAGGGAAATGGAACATTTTCTACAGGTGCAGACTTTTCCTTTCCTTCACATCTGCAAGTTCCGTGTTTTCTTTTCGCTTCTGGTTCTTCCTTGACTTTGTAGACATGGACTTTTTCCAGACGATAAATCTTCAGACAGGAGTCTCTTGCTGTTTTGTGGCATAGACACGTGAAAGGTCAGACCTTCACCTGGGAACAATGGGAATCTTGAGGCTCCATCCATGTGCTGAGTTTTATCTGGATGTACCGAACATAGGAACTCACTGATGTTTGCAAAGTTCTGCTCAACTGTGATGTCCTCTGACTAACTGGGACTGAGCTGATACAAGACGTAGCGATGGGTGCCATAGACTCATGGACTGTAGGAAAGCAGACAATAAAAATTTTTGTGGCACACAGTCTGCTTATGCATGTGCCCAGTTGGCTTATAAGTCACTTTTTTTCTAAAGCAACTTAATGGACACAGGAAACTGATCTTTCTTATCAGTATGCTTAAGAAGCTTAAAAATTACAAAGTCTTACTATGATCTAGTACTTGAACTTTCTAGGTCTCTACTGTACTTTGCACAGCTATCTTCATTGAGCTGTCTATATTGAGGCCAAGATTATTTTTACTGACTTGCTACAGCTAATTCAGGCAGCTCTGTGTCTCCATGTGAGGTTGCAGAAGACACTGAGCTTGGAGGCCATGATGCTGCGTTCACTCACCACTCCTCTGCCCAGCACACTCTAAAACCTCCATCGAATGGTCTGAGTGACACTGCAAGTGTGTAACTCTTTGCCTTTTTGGCAGTAAACCAAGATATTCCCTGGGATTAGGGATGCCGGGGGTTATATAATTCAAATAGGCAGGGTTTTGCCAGCTGAAGGAGACAAATGCCTCCTCCCAAAATGTTATTTTTTAGTTTCTTGTCTCAGTAAACATGATGTGCATGAGCAGCGTAAGGTAGTAATGGAGCCAAAGAAAGAAATAGCTGTGTGAAAGAGTGCTATGGCTTATTGCCATAAGTAAAGTAGTCATCTACAAAAGCTGAGTGGTCAAAAGCACTGTGACTAGTTGTGTCCTTACTGGGGAGAGGCTTCTTAGGATGCAGTTCCGTACTGCAGCTAAACATAAAGAGAAGAGCTTGCTTCATCTGTGCTGGTATTTGTCTCACCTCATGAGGAGCTGTTCTGGGAACCTAAACTGAGAAACCTAAACCAAGAAGAAAAAATAAGAACTTTGTCACTGTAGCTCCTTGAAGTAACTTGCTGCAGGGCTGGAGGCTTCCCAGTACCAGTAAGAAAGGGATAGAGACGTGACAGTGGGGGAAGAGGGAGACTGACATTTGGCAGGAGCTAGCCATTGGATTGATTTAGTTGCAGCATCAAATGTCTCAAGAATTGAGAGAAAAGATTTTGTAATTTGTGTTTGGGGATTTTGATCTTATCTCTGTCTTGGGTTAGCTAGAAGACCAGAGAGGGATGGTTAGAAGCAGGCTGGGTATGTTTGTACCTAAATCTCCAACTGTAATGCTGTTAGCCACAATCAAGGAAGGTCTTGGCTATATGCATAAATCCCAGTGCACATACAGTTTAACTGAACTGTTCTTTTAGTTAAACTAGTTTGCATGTGAGTATTTCTGGGGATAAAGTTTAGTGTGGAGTTGTGTATCTTTTCAAACAAACTTGTATTTCATTGTAAAATATTACCACAAATATTTAACATGACTGCCTGACAGCAATTATTTCAGCAAAAGCTAGTAAAATATTTAATCTCTTGCACTGCAGAGACTAAAGGAATTTTTGGATCTCGTTTGGACAGCAAGGAAGTATTTTGTGTTGGGTAAGGCTGAAGAGAAATGGAATTTGGAGTATTTTTGTTCTACTGGAAAATGTGAAGGGAGTGGTGGAGGGGAGAGTTACCATGCCTCTCTGGCTATTGGCCATCCTAACGGCAAGAAAATTTTATTTTGTTTGAGTAACTGAATGTGGTTCAGTTCAAGCAAACTGAACCTGCTAAACTTCACCACTTTTTGAAATGGCAATTCAGCTTCACCGCTACTAGCAACAAAAATAATTCAGTGCTGCTCAGACACAAATTACTGTAAGTTTTAAATTTCTGTCCATTTTTGAGTTAGTTTAAATGATAGCATGTTGAAAATAGTATGTAGTAACTTGCAGCCTGTCTGCTACATCACTTTGATCAATAAAATTAGTGAAAGTACAGGGTTCAAACCTACAGGCTGCAGAGCTCCTCATTGATGCTACATTGAACATCTGCACTTTATTTGCATAGGAGGGATTTCCAAGTGATTTCGGAACGTGGGTTGGGTTTTATTTTCCCATTTGTGTATTATTCATCACTAAAAAAGGACATTAATGTGTCTATGTGGATATCCTGTCACTTTTTGCACAGCTTTTCCTTCTTTTGAGACTGCAAAGTATTACTAGAAGTTCACTAGTTCACTGTGCTTTGCATCTGCTGTTAACCATCTGTGTCCCACAAAATCTGGTGAGCTTGGAGATACAGCAGCCCTGGCCATTTTGTACCTGTTTGGTTGAGAGTTAAAGGCTAATTTACTCAAGAAGCTATTGACCTAACACTAACTACAGGGGCCCAAAAGGAGATGCCTTCCAGGCATATAGTAGTCTTTCAAAGTGGTGTAAACTAAGCTATTGCAAATGCTCATCCATTGGTATTGCAGTTGATTTTGTCAGCCTAAAGGTTTAAACCCTTTGGTTTTTTACGTACTTATCCGAAAGAAGCTGGATAGCAAAACCTCCCAAAGAAGACCTTGCTAAAACATTTCGCAACTCTTATTTATACACTTAGCTCTTGTTTATAGGCTAGCATAGAGACCTTTAGGAGTGAAAACTTGTGTATGTTGACTGAACTGAAGTCCAGCCACAAGTCTTCATGTGGAAGCTTTCACTTACGTCCCCCAAGTGGGAGATTCCTAACTTGAGTCTTATACAGTGAAGATTCCAACTACTGTTGTAACTATCTTAATTTGCTTCATAAATAGTGGAGAGAAATAGATGAGAGAGAACATCTGGTCTGATTTAGATGTCTTCTGGTTGTTCTGTCATCTTTCAGTGGTGTTTATGTCTCCTTAATGAATACAAAAGGATTTCAGATGATTTACTGAGATATAGATATCTGTATATTTATACCATGTAAGCATCTACATTTGTCATCTATAACGATAGCACTACATTAAAAAAATTATTTCAAAAGTCTACTAGTTGTTTCCAAATTGCTCTCTGCAATTTAAATTAAAGCAAACATAAATTGCAGTGATACCACATACATAACAGGACCCTTTAGTTGTCTTTGGCACCTCCCCTTTGAAATTTCTTTATTGGATCTGGACTACTATGGCTGGGAATCCGACCAGGGCTGCCAGAACCACTCCGTCTTTTAAGTGGCTCTTGATTGCCTTCCAGCTCACTTTGTCCCTACTTTTCCCTGTGTTCCTGCAGAATCAGGGTTTGGCAGGCTCTCTGGAGGCAGGAAGCACTTGGGTAGGCAGCGGTGATACTTCGCCTCAGGCCAAGGCCCGCTGGAGTGTGCCATTTGTAAACAGTGCTGATGCTCATGGTGGGACAGGAGCTGCGGGTACTTACGGTCTGTGCCTGCTTTCTTCCCAGCCATTGTGCTGAGGACAACTGCCTTCATCCTTTCGCTGCTTTCCCCTTTGGGAGGGCAGTCTTAGCTAATGTCAAGTACAGTGTTTTATTCAATTAAGCTGTTTGGCTTACTCTGACTAGTAAGTTAGCAGAACTGGGAGGAAATACACTATAAATGATGACAGATAATGCTATTTTGCAACAGTAGCAAGTCCCCAGTGACTTCCTCTGCTCTGCCTTCTGCTTTGAGTTAGTGACCACCTTCTAGTGTCTGCTGATTATAACGTTTCACGTTTGACATCTGGTTTTAGCCTCATATGTTTTGATTGCAGCTTTTGTAGATATTCTGTATGTAGAAACCAAGAGAGCAAGCCTTGAACTTCTATAGCAATAACTTTCCTTTGAGTTGAGTTTTTGCTTGTATTTTTCTTTTCTTCTTGCCTGCATTGCCATAGAAGAAGGACATGATCATGATGATATAATCTTTTCTTTTACAGAAAAAATGTGAAATCATTTTTTGCAAGATACAAGACGTTGCAGTGGACAAGTTCTTATGCTTTGCCAGACTTCCCTTACGATATCAAGTGCATACTAGCAGAAAAAAAATGCCCTGATCACAGTATGAGAATAAGGATTATTGAATTTTTACAAGCAGATATGACGAAATACCTAGAAGGATCACTGTGAGTAAACATCATTAGATTTGTTTGGGGGCATTACCTATTGGCTGCAGAAGTAAATTTTCAAATGGATGTAAAGCCATTCTCTTCCATATGCTTGCTTAAATAGAGGAGTCTAAGGACCTGAAACCTGTTGAAGCCAATGGGAAGACTTCATGCAAATCTTAAAGTTGTTGCCTTTGTAATTTGGAGGAGAACCGACAGTTCAAGAAATAGTCAGTTTAATGTATATCAGTATAGACTTCAGACAGTGTCTAGCACTGTCTGGAATATCGGTTATTTATTTTACATCTTCATCTTGTTTGCACAGGTATCCAAACAGTCAGCAATATAACATTGTTGTCAATGCTCTGCTGCAGGCATACCCGTTCCTCGATGAAGATGGGAATGGCTTTGTAAGTATTGTAAAGAGTACCCTGTCTTGAAAAATAGAGAAGTAATTTTTTTTTTCCCGTATAATCAATCACAAGAAAATAACCTAGTTCAGAGGAAATCAATATCAATTTCTTCTTACTGGCTCTATTCAAAACTGTAAGCTTCACTTTGACACGTTTAACGAATCACATTCTTCTTTCATTATATTAATTAAAGATTAATCCAGTTACAGCCATTCCTCAAAGCCTCTGTGAGATCATGCAGGCCTGTATGTGAAGTCCCTGGTTGCTTGTTTGGTACAGTTTCTTTCTGGATTGATTTCCCTCAAAGGATGAATTTAAGTAAATGAGACTTATTTTTGGTTTTGAAAACAATGAAACCAAGCCTTTAGAATATCGTCTGTATGAGGACTAACACACAACTGATGCTCTTGCAATGCACTATAATCATTGTATGTTAGATATCTAGCTACAGCGTGTAGTAATACTACTGGTTTAGGTATGCTGGGAATCTAGACATAATTAAAAAAGAAGAAGTTATTTAAAAACACTGGTTGGGATCTCAGTTGGGGACATAACAGAAAGCAGTGGAAGGAGATGACTTACATTTGAACTATGTTTTTTTCATTCTTGTGACCCAGAATACATATCTGCGGTCTCAGAGGACAGTGTTCACCGTTTGACTTCATATCATTGCTTTGCCACGAGATACTTTTATAGCATCTTGTAAAAACCTTGTGAAACTCAGCGGGGATTGTTAGCTTTAAATGTATATAAATATATATCTTGCACACAGTTACTGCAGAAAGTAAAATAATTTTGAGAATTAAAAAAAATATGAGGATTAAGGGGTGGCTATTCTAGTTCCCCCCTGAGCCCAGGCATTGTAGGAAGGAAGGGACTAAAGAAAACAAACACATCTCAGAAAGGAGAGAGGAAGCAGGAGGATCAGAGAGCGAAGGTCCACCCTTATTTTCAATAAGGATTCCTCTCGGAATGCCCCAGTCGGGGGGTCCTCAGTCAGGGTCCTGGATAATGCTACAGCTTCATCTGGCTCCCTTTGTGAAAGGGAGCTGGAATGACGTTCTGAGTAGATTCAAAGACCTTTTTACAGCCTTTGACTTTTAAAAACTGTTTTTAAACAGAGATTCTTAAGCCGGGTTTTCAAAGGGCTTTCAATGCAGCAGGAGCACAGACTGAGTGAAACTACTTATAACTCCATCCTTTGGGACACGGCTCATCGCTGCCCTGATCGATCCCAGAATTGACTGACAGAAGTTAACGTGATGAGGCAGAGACTTCAGAGTTGTTGTTCTTTATGTTTTGATATTTCTCTCCTGCTTACTAGAAAACATATCTAGAAGAAACCACCATAAGTAAGTGAGGAAGCTGGAATTAGCAATTTGCAATATTGCTAGTCTAACGCTTCTGAGCCAGCCCCTCTCTGTTGCTTGAGGCAGGAAAAAACGCACTGAAGATGTACGTCTGTACAATTGTTTGGAGGAGGGAGTGAGGATGAATTACTATTTTTATTGGCTCTACTGTCAGACATTCTGTTCTTCCTTCACGATCATAAAGGCTATAAATAGTTATTTTTTCTTGATCTGAAATAGTTGTGTGTAACAACAGCAACGGCTTAAGACAAACCCTACAACATATGCACAGCTACTTGGCTTGGGGCTTGCAGTAAAGACTGAATTCATATACCTTTAAGGAACAAATAACAAAAAACATAATAATGGGCTAACCACCATTCTTTCATCTTTTCTCAGAAAAAGCGTCTTCAGCAGCCCAAAAATGTGAAGTTTTTGTAGGCTTTTCTTTTAAAGTTGCCTCAGGCTGGCACAGTACTGTAAGAATTGCTGCTTGCTGTCCCTGATAATAGTATTGAATCACTGGTCTTGTAAAATATTGCTTACTGAGAGGTTTTGAACACCTTAAACTGGTTTATCTATAATAATTAGACCGTTATTACAATTTTTGAAAGTACGTTGAAAGTATTTAAGAAAAAAATCATCAATAAAATAATTCAGAGGTAAAGAAGAAAGCTCTTTATTTGGAGACTGACAGCTAAATGTAGAAAAGGAGAACTGTGAAACGAGAGTAGTGATTTAAGCAAAAATGCTAGCTATATTAGTCATTAAATAACATATATATAAATTTCTGGAGATGCAGTTCATATAATGTGGTTTTGGTGTCTACATTAGGAAGAGAGGAATAGCACTGTGAAAGTTCTTTTTTCTTTCTGTGGACTCCAAAGGCAGCCTCGGGTGACCAGCTGTGTGCAGATGTCTCTATCTGATGATAGGTGACCCCCTCCTTTTAGTGCCTTGTAAGGCTGGATAAAGGGGCACACCAAACATGGCAATTCAGCCAGGCAGGCCTCTAAGAACAATGGTTTCCAGGACTGGTAGATTAATAAAGTTATTTAAGTTTATTGAGAATACCAACAAACATGTTTTCAAGTATTTGGACTTTTAATTTCTTGTCAGAATTACAGGAGAAAGAAGTAGCTGCACGCGTTTCAAAAAACTCAAGGGCTGAACACAGTTTGGAGTACTGAGTCTTGCTTTCCCTCTGGCATGCCGGGGCTCACTTCTGCCATCGGGGGTTTTCCTTCCTGCTGCGCAAAATGCTCTATCCCACTGTATTGTTAATGACATTAATTTATTGTTCTTTATTTATTGCTGCGCTATGTCTTGGTTCCTAGATTCAGTTAAACTCTAAATTCATATTAAATTCATATTAATCCTTTTTTTCAATTTAAAGGAAAGCAACTGCTTACCCTTTGGGGTGGAGGAGCAGCCACAGCATCTGCTGGGGTCTGCAGAATCTGTTATTAATGACAGGCCTTGAGAAGGTCTGCAGTGGTGTGGGGTTTTTTTAAATTATTATTATTGTTTTTAAAAAACTCGTGGATCTTATGGTTTGGTGCCCTCCACCAGGAATGGATGTGTCTTATCTGCTGGAAGGATGCAGTGGAAACTGTTCTGGGTTCTTCCATGGCCAATATGCACGCCTGCCCGTGGCCTGGGTGGGCAGGGGCAGGCGGTTGGGCTCTCTGGTGGAGAAAAGGGAAAGCTCATCCCATGAGAGATCCCGACGTTCCAGAATTAGCTTTTTCTTCTGACCAAGAAGAGAAAATCAGAACATAAGGAACTTGATGTAATGAAAAACTTGGAGAAACTTTGAATTGGAAATGTCAGCACTTGCGTTACAACATTTTCATGGAAATTAAATGGCTTGGAAAATTGGAAAGGGGAAAGATCTGCTGTAAAATATAGAGGAAGTACAGCAAATAAACCAAACATAAAGGCACCTAAATTCACACCAGTATTTTCATGACAGGAAAAAATCCTCTTGCAAAACTTTGAACATTCCTTTTTTGCTGTTTGTGTTTGTTTGTTTGTTTGTTTTCTCAAAATACTGAACGCTTTTTAACGCCAAACTATTTTAAACACGTAATTTAAACAATGCATGCATTATGTAGAAACTTAGTCTAACATTTTCAATCTCATACCTTTGCAATGAGATGTCTTTAAGGTTTGGTGTTCCATGATTTGTTAGTAGATTATCCATAATTCTATTTTCTTGATTAAAAGATTTCTCGTTTAATTTTGCAGTAGGGAAAAATATGCTTCTTGGCCATTAATATGCTTCTGTGCCATAGGCACAGGATAGCAGATGCAATATAGTCAGTATTATGATAATGATCCTAAATGAGTAAGTTTACAAATAAGGTTATGAATTAGCTACTTCTGTACTATGAAATTAAAAAGCAGGTTATTTACTTGGTCACTCTTGAACCAGGAATTAAGAAAGAATTCTGAGAAATTCTAAATAATTTAAAAAATCATTTTACACTAAAGGCAAAACTCATTTAAGAAGTCTACAGAGCACTTGGAATGAAATTAATTTCCTCACCTGTTCTAGGATTTGGAAAAAAGTGCTTTAAAGTGATTACCTAAGGAATTTCCCAATCTTATCCTAAACTAACTCATACAACATCTAAAAAAATAATCTCCACTTAGTAATGAAATAGATTGTTAGATTTCTGATGTGTAATGTAACCAATGCAACATTTGTAAGTAGTTATAGACAAATAGGTTATATAAAAAAGCCAGGGTCATAGTCACAGCAGTCAAAAGAAAATTGGCATGACACTGTTTCTTGCCCACCTGCAAGATACGATTCTATTTGTATTTATTCCCTTTGCAAGGGTTACAACCAACCGTTTGGAAAGAGTCGCTGACCTTATTTCATTTCATTTGAGCCAACGTGTTGAAAATTGAATGGTTTCAACAAAACCTCACGTGAGGAAGGAAAAGAGAGGGCTCTCTTATCGGCACCTCTTGCCCACGGGCTTTGTGTCCCCCGAGCGCGGGGCTGCCAAGCGGTGCCGTGATGCCGGTGAGGCCCGGGATCCCGGTGCTGGCATGCCTGATTTATGTAACCGCTGCACACAAAATGATTATTCACTAGTAAATTACTGCTTTTAATCTGCGTGTAATCCTTCCCCTCCTATGTCAGATAGACACAGACTAATCCTTCTGCTCCCTTACAAGCATTGTAAATATTCCTGGAATGGTTTTTGGGGGAGGAATTAATAGAAAATAAAGTTATCAGCTCAAAAATGGTAACGAAAGCATCCTTTTTGGAAGACGCATTACCTGCTAGGGAAACCACATAAATGTATGTGCTCGCAGTCTCACTCTTGAAATAGGTATGTGAGAAGGGACTTGGCTAAGCTTATGAGAATCCTATTACAGAAATAGATTTTGTTAAAACTCTCAATTTATCTGAGGACAGGAGGATGAAACAGCTGAATGTTTTGAACTTTGAGGGATATTTAAAGCTCTGTATAGGTGTCAGCATATTCTTTCATGCAGAAGAATAAGCGAAAATGTCTCCTAGGCAAACAAAGGTTTTCAGAAGAAAGAACTGCACAAAACTCAAGGAAGGGGATACTTAAATTGTCAGCTTGTAATGTATTCTGGCATGATCACGTTTTAAAATATTTTAACATCTGTTGAACACTTCAGAGAAGCATTAAACTAAGGTTTTTTAGGTTTTTTGTTTGCTTGCTTCTTAACAGCCTTAAAATAACTATGTTCCAAATTAATTTTGCTAAGCATATAATGCTGGGGTATTGCATCAAAATGTAAATGCACAGGGTGAGAACTGTAAACATATTTAGGAGCCTTAACGGTTCAGGCAGATAGCAAGTGGGATTTTCAAGGCATGTAGTCACCTCAATGCTTTTGAGAACAGTGCTGAAGTGTAATACTCAAATGGAGGCTGTAAATACGCCTTGTGAAAAGACGGCGTGACCAGCTGTGCTCTATTTCTGATCGTTACATTTAGGTTGGTGACAACGTGACCCCTGTTCTGGCAGAATCCTAAGTCTGAAGTTTACATACTGGAAATGCAGAGGGGTTTGGCCCATGGCAGGAGGGTTGGAACTAGATGATCTTTGAGGTCCCTTCCAACCCAAACCATTCTATGATTCTATGATTCTTTCCAGTTCTCAGATGTTCACATGTGGCTGACAGTGAGAGGATACTTCTGTAAGACCCCATAGAAGGGTGGCAGAAAGTGTCCTCCCAGAAAGGGCACACTTGCCCTGGCTGGCCCAGGTCTGCCCAAGAAGAGCTAAGGTAGATGCGACAGGGGCTGTGTTCTCGTAACTCTTCTATTGTCTTTCTTCACCATGAATGGAGCTCTTGCTTTTAGGATTGAGGACCTGTAAATCAGCTAGTACCCTTGGGAGGTGGGAGTAGTATGTTCGGCAGGAGAAACACAAGATCACACTGCCTTCACTACTGTCTCTTAAGAGACCTTCCCATCCATATCCCATGGGTGAGGAAGGAGGGCATCTCAGACTGACTGAAAAGATTCTGTGCTACTTAGTCTACTTTTACTGAATTCTGGTTTACACCAAAGTTAACCGTTAAAGTCATATGATCTTGACAAATAAAGGACACTATTTTGGTAAGAAATTTGGGGTAATCATTCTTCTATTTATATTGTGTTTTAGCAAATCAGTGAATACAGGCTTGAGTATAGGATTAAGTAAGTACAGTATTGGAGTAAATTTTAGAAAACGGGGTAACATCTATTTGAATCTCTTTTACCACATCCTGTCACTTACAGTCACTTTTCTGACTAATTTTTGTTCTCTCTGACTGTTGAAAACCCCTCAATAACTGGAATAAACTGTTGCTTTTGATGATTTGACAAAACATTTTCAATATTCACAACTGCAGGTTTTGCCTGAAGAAATGTTTAGCAGCCGTGGCTTGGTAATTGCTTCCCCACGTGTCAGTGGTTAGCACTGCTGGGTCCCACCATGGGATGCTCAGCCAGGGACAGCAGGTGACCAGCCATCTGTCCATAAGGATGCACAATGAAGTTCAGCTGCCAAGGAGTGATGAGTGGCTCCATTAAGCAGGGACAGCTCCCACTTGCAGTGCAGAACTGCCTTTAAATTGCAGTTTACATGCCTTGAGGAGTCTTACAAACACTAGGACCCACTTAAATGGTCCTCTTTAATTCAGCAATTTTGAGTTCAGTTTAATAATACACTTGATGCAATGTAACTGGAGGCTCCCTGCAAAAGGGACCGTCCTACCATGCCTTTCCCGCTCCCTTGCGTTAGATATAATAATCATACAACTGCACAAATAGTCAGATTCTGTCAGACAGAGGGGAAAATAATCCACTTAAAAAAAAACCCACAAAACAAACAAAATCCACTCCGTTAGTTTTTGGTGGCATCAGTGAGCTGATCTGATTCACTGTGTAGTTTTGTGACCTGATGCCATGAATGGAGTATCCCAATGCAAGAGCTGAGAGAAGGAAAGCAAACTGTGGTTTCACTGACAGCCCTGCTTATATCGGATAAATTTAACCCTTACGTTCAATTACTGTCATCCTTAACGAGCCATGCCGGTGCCAGTAGCCCTGCTGTGTAGTTACCATGGAGTCATGTACCACAGGTGCTTGTGTTTCCTTCCATTCCGAAGCCTCCGGTATGCTGACACCACACTACGAGTATTTTTCTGCTTAGAGGCAAACACTTTTTTATAAAATAGAGTTAGATAAAACAAAGTGACCTGCTTTAGGAATGGGGCAAATTCTTGAAAGATACTGATAATGACAGATTTTCCCCCCCCCCATGCAGTTTCTATGGAAACGGGCCCTTAAAGATCGTTTCAAATATGTGCGGAGACCCATTGAAGACGATGAGCAAGTCCTGAGGAACAAATGCAAGTTTGGCCACAGGCGAGGACAGACCAGGAAATCTTCATTTGCTGAAAGTAAACCTGATGACGTCCAGCTGCAGGTGGAGGTGATATTTTTGGTGCTTAACTGAGTTCTGTGTCTTTCAGCTCCTCTGCTGACAGTAAGGCCACTAGCCAGTAAAGGGTAGAACAAAATGATCTCGTCCTATTTAAATTCATTTCGTATAGAGTTTGTCCTATAGCCAGACCCTTGACTTTTTTCCATTCCTGGAGAACTATGTATCAACAGTGGAGCTAAACTCAATACTGGATGGCTTGCACATTTGTTATCATTTCGAGTTGTTGCCAACTGGACATGAAATTCTGTTTGTTTTTTTGTTTGGTTTTTTTTTTTTTAAATGCAATAGTCCCATTTTGCTGTAGGTTATACACCTCCAGTTAGAGCAGAAAAACAACAGAGGCTTATGTCTAAGAGCTGAAACCTCTGTACAAATAAGAATGCAAAGTGATATTTGAGCTGGTAGCAAATGGCCATATCCTACTGTCACATTGCACTTTGTTATATAAAAGCTGTTTGTGCTGATGTGGGATATACACAGGGGTGCTTATGGATGTATGCATGTACTTGCTGTATTTCCCTTTAGTTAGAAAATTCAAAGAGCCATCGCTGTTTGGTAAGTGTTTGAAGCATACTAATTAATTTATACACTTTCATAAAAACATTAAGGTTCCAGTTAGGCTTTGCCAACGTTCCTCACACTTCCTTCAGTGCTGCAATTAAAACGTGGTCAAATTTAAACAATTGGAAGAATGTGATAACGAAAATACTAAAGCAGATATTTGACTTTGGTTTTCGTATGTTCATCCTGCTGTTTACCAGGCAAGTGTCTTTAGGGGAGTAAGAGTGGTTTACTGGATGTATTTCTACATGCATCACCCTTATGTTCGAAGGTATCTATAGTTTTCTAAAAAGCAGATACATGTTTTTGGTTTGTTTTTTAGATTTTTTTTTTTTAGAAGCTTCGGTAATTTCTGTTTATCCCCTTTTGATTAATGTATGCAGGAATGAACACTTCCTTCTTTTTGCCTACTTTAGTTGAAAGGTTTGCAGAACGTGTGAAGTAAGAAACTTTTAATTTGGGTGCAAAACATCCAAAACAATAAACAGTCTTGCATGCAGTAAAGGAGAAATGAGAGGCTCCTAGTTTTGTGTATGCTTTAAGAGTTACCCATCCTTTATTCACTGATGCTTGGAAAGGGCAAATGTGGGTCTTTTCTGTCACATGAGCTTGTTGAGAAGGGCTTTGCAGTGGTTCTGTAGGAACTGCATGCTCAACTTCAGTTTTCTATAGAGAAGGTGTAACTGCACTGCACTGGGTGTCTCTAAACTAGGAATGACCACTCTCAGTGGAAGGAGGCGAGAGGATACTGAATATCCATGAAGCACTTCTCCTTTCTTTCTCTCATTACATATACATAAAAAAGAACATAAATATAAATGCAAGAATTAACACTTGTGGAGCCTATTAAGGCTTAAGACTGAGTCCAACAAAAGTGAGGGAATCACAACTTTCTTAGTTTTAAATGTGTTTCTAAACTGAAAGCAGGTATGTCAGGCTGAGAGAGTTGGGGCTGTTCATCCTGGAGAAGAGAAGGCTCCGGGGTGATCTTATAGCAGCTTTCCAGTACCTAAAGGGGGCCTACAGGAAAGCTGGAGAGGGACTTTTTACAAGGGTGTGTAGTGATAGGACATGGGGCAATGGATTTAAACTGAAAGAGGGGAGATTTCGATTAGATATAAGAAAGAAATTCTTTACATTGAGGGTGGTGAGTCACTGGAACAGGTTGCCCAGAGACGTTGTGGATGCCCCATCCCTGGAAGTGTTCAAGGCCAGGTTGGATGAGGCTTTGAGCAACCTGGTGTAGTGGAGGGTGTCCCTGCCCATGGCAGGGGGGTTGGAACTAGTTGATCTTTGACGTCCCTTCCAACCCAAACCATTCTATGATTCTATGATTCTATGTCTGGCTCTGAGATTCTAAATTATGTCCCTACAAATGTGCACAGCTGAACAAGATGTTTGTTTAGTAATCTTTTAAACAAATGTATCATGGGGTTTTTCATTCTGTATATATAGGAACACACATAAAGGCACCTTTCTGCCAATCCTTGGCACTAACTACTTTGTGATAAATTTAAACTGCTAAACAAAGAGTCTTAGCCTCAGAAAATAAATATTTGTTCTAGAAGCCAATAACACAGGCAAAACCAAATTATATTCAAAATATCATTAGCCAGATCTCTCTGCCTTCATCCCTTTTCCAAGTTTGGAAGAACAGATCAGCCTTGTGTGGACTAGAAGCCAATACATCAGGATAATTTAAGGTGAAATCATGGGAAATGAGTTCAGGTTAAGGAGACCTTTGGAGAATAATCAGTCAAGGATTCCTAGCACCTTTGTGTCTCCAGCTCTGCCTTAGATAGGCAGACAGGACATTTAGGGCATTATAGGTCAAAGCCAACCGGCAAGCAGTGCAGATGAAAGAGCACATCTGTTCCCAACAGATGACCTACTTACTAGCCACACAGCTGACTTCTGTATCGAGCTTTAGTTTCTGAACAGTCGTAAGATGTTAACTCCGTCAAACATGCTTTGTGTCAGTATAATGTTGGATTGTTAATGGTATGACACTGATAAAAAGATTATTTACTAACAGGAAATGCCTCTCTGGTATACCTGGCATTTGTTTTTATATAAAAAGGTAATGAAGCTATTACTACTAGTAACATCCTTGACCATTCTTTCTATTTCATCATGTGAAAAAACAGTTGCTTGCCAGGACAAGCTTCCTGTGATGTTTTTTCCACAGATGATGTCTGTCCCTCGATCTGCCCAAGGCCCATCACCTGCCAGCAGGCATTCCTCCTCCTGCAAACACAGCACAAGTGTTACTTGGCCTCGCATGCAGAGCATTGCTTCCAGATCCAGCACCTGGCTTTCTCCTCCAGTTTCTTTAAATCATCTGCTGATGTGTTGCTCATTATGGAGCATTATATTCAGGCAAGATTGAAGAGTATACTCGTTTTACAGTGGCTAGCATCACAGGAAAGGCCTTGAGCCAGTGCAGTGCCCAGGGCTGTAAAATGATGGCAAGTAAGCACAATAAACCCATGCTGGAGGTGTATGTCACAGAAGGAGGTTTTGCTTAAAACGATGCTTCCTACAAATATTCACCAGGTTGAGCCACCATTGGAAAGAAGCTTGGATTGTGCCTGACATAGACATTAATGTCTGAGGGATATTCAGAGCTTGATCAGGCAAGCCTCCTTAATTAACAAATTTTCTGGCTATGAAGTGAGAATTCTCCTCAGTCATTTTTCACAGTCAGGCAAATATCCTGGAGCTGCAGCAATCCAGGGGAGAGTGCTTTGTAATGATAATGACCTTCATCTGCTGCAAATGGAAGGTACTTTCCCTGAGAGGGGTGATCACACCGCGAAAATAAGAAAGGCAAGCCAGTCTCCCTTCTGCAGCCAGGGTGGGACTACTGCTAAGGCAGCCATCCAGTCACTTGTTCTGACTGATCTCACCCCTTTTTTAGCACTAAAATGGCAGCATAAAACCTTTCCTCTGCCCTCAGGAATTATTTGGCTTATGGTCCTTCAGGCTACGAGAGAAATCACCTCCTGACAGTTGTTACAGGAGTGGCTCTAGACTTGGGGGAGCCAGAGAGCAGGAAGATAAGACACTCTTAGTATGCATCTTTGGCCAGAGGATTATCGAAAGGCAAAAGCTGATGGAGAAGGAAGCGCAGATAGAGCTGGTGATTGGCTTCCATATGACAAAACCATGTGGCTCAAACACTAGCTGAGTCATCACATCACAGGGGTGATGTAGTCATTCACAGAGCGAGTTGCCCCTTCCAGAACTTCAAGATTTGAAACCTTGTCAGTCGAGAACAGTGCTGTCCATGGGAAAGTGTGACTTCACAATCAGTTCAGCTAGCTGAAGACAGACATAAAAATGCCCACAGATATCCTGCACGGCTCCAACTGCCAGTGTCCAGAAGGGAATGGGTTTCCCATAGGTCCTGTGTCATATTCTGCTACTTCTAGAGGTTTCTGGGATGCCCTTATGACACCTCAAATGTCACTAAAAAGCTATATCTATGCAACTATATCTATATAGTTAGATATTTCGATATAGCTACAATAGCTTTATCTAAATAGCTGTATCAAGCTCCTTGAATCCATCTCAGCCACTGTATAAGAAAACCTGTCAGTTTAAGAGACTATCCAAGGATGTCTTAAGTTACCTGAATTTTAAGGGAATATAACAGGCTAGAAGACTGTTAGTAGTTCATGATCTTAAAGAGAAGTCGAGAGAGAGAGAATACAGTCCCTCTTTTAATGCGTTCAGTTTCTTACATCCTATGACAGCCTGTTTGTGAGGTCATCAGGGCTTCACTGAAGCTGTCACACAAGTAAATTTGGAGTTAGGTGTGAAAAGGAGAAATAGGCTCTGACAAGATGTCAGTCAAGATAGGGGTAGATGTTTGCAGATAACTGGGCATATTTGCCACACCCAGCAGAGCTGGGAATACCATAATGAAAACAATTTATAAAGGAGGCACCAGCAGGCCCTCTCCTTTCTGTGGCTATGGGATAAATGTAAGAAATGTTTCAGTGAGTACTTAGACTAGGAGAAGTGAATGGATTCTGCAGAAGCTTAAACTCATGGAGTTGGACATCTGCTGATATTATTCCTACCTGGGGAAGATAGGCAGGAATGTTGAAGGTGGCGAATATGCAAATCCTCTGCCAAGAGGAACAGATAAAAATCAGAGAAGATCTCCAGCCCAGGAGGCATTCAGGTAGAAACTGGGCACCATATGTGCTTGCTTTTGTGGTATCACGCAGTACAAGAGCGGTGAAGATGGTGAGAAAATTCTTGCCGTAAGACTGAGGCTTCCCCTGAACTAATGAATCATAGAATCATAGAATCATAGAATGGTTAGGGTTGGAAGGGACCTCAGAGATCATCTAGTTCCAACCCCCCTGCCATGGGCAGGGAAATCCTCCACTACACCAGGTTGCCCAAAGCCTCAT